CAGTGAAGCAACGTCCTCCACAACTAGACTGAAGAACAAAAAAAACAGCAACTTGTCTGTTCCCCTTCCCTGATTCCATAATGCTGTTCCCCTTCCCCAACTCCCCAGTAAAATCTTAAAAAATTAAAAAAAAGAGTTGGCTTAACATGTTAACATGTTAACATGTGATGTCAGTCCCTGGGGACTGACAGTGACCTTTCCGTTCAGACGGCATCAGTCCCCAGGGACTACAGTGGACTTTTCGTTTGAACTATCAGACGAATTATCACTTTCAGATGATGGCAACTGTTTTACACGGCGACGTTTACATGGTACAGATAACTCACTCGAAGAATCGCTATCTCCTTCTCCTCTCAACATTTTTGGTATTATGGGTAACAAATCTTTTTTAAAATAATCACTGTGAAACTAAATTCTCTCTGCTCAAATAGATCTTTACACTTCGGTGGCTTTTTCTAACTGATCGTCTCTTGGAGGTCACCTTCTTACCGTTCCCGACATCATCATCTTGTGTTAAGAATTTGTATACTTTTGCATTGGCTGCACCATTGTGTGCCTGTTTATACTCTAACTCAACACCCATCAAGTGGTCGCCAGCATGCCAACACGCCGGCCCGCCGCCTGAACAGAAAGCCCAGCAAAATTGGCTCAGCGCTTAACGTGTTAAGAGCACAAGCTCCGAGCAACAGGGCCACCGATTCAATTCCCACATGGACCAGTAACACTGCGCCTGAGCAGAGCTGTCGTTGAGCTGCCAAGAGGTGGCAGGATGGCTCAGCTGGTGTAACAAGATTTCCTGTTAGATCTTGGGCTATGCCCACCCACAACTAAGACTGAACTCGGCAACTTGAGCTGAGCTACCGCCCGGAGAGAGCGTGCGCTCTTAACAACAAGGCTGCTGGTTCAATTCCTGCATGGGATGGTGGCTACACTCACCTGCAACTAAGATTGAACACAACACCTTGAGCTTAGAGTCCACGAGCTGCCGACAGGAAGCCAGATGGCGAATGGCGCCCTCCACAACGAAGACTGAAGAACAACAACTTAGCTAGTCCCCTTCCCCAATTCCCCAAAGCTGTTCCCCTCCCCCAATTCCCAACAAAATCTTTAAAAAAAAAAAAGAAACCTGCCTAAATGAAAACAAATTGTTTAAAGTCATCCAAAATCAATAGCACCACTCATGCAGTTAGATAACAAAGCAGGTCCAAATTCTATTTTATGTCTTCACAGAGGGTGAATAAAAAGATACAATAATATCTCCTGCATTTTCCAAAAAATCAAGTTAATTCTATGTGATGAAAGAAAGCTGGAATGTTCAAAGTGAATTACATGTGCTAAAGACATCTTGCAGGAAAATTAATAAATACTTCACTCAAACATGTCCTACTTACAAAGACAGTATAATAAATTAGATGGATTGTGGACTATNAAAAAAAAAAAAAAAAAAGTTCAAGTGATTTGAAAAGACAAATATTCTGAGAAGTTAGGTGGAAAATGGAAATATTCCAGATAATTGTAAGTTGGTTCATTCAGCACCATACATTTTCAAAGCTTTACTTTTTCTTTAACAAGTTTATTGAGGTAGAATTTACATACCACAAAATTCACCTATTTAAAGTGTGTAATTTAATGTTTTTTGGATTGTGCAAAAATAGGTACAACCATTAACTAGTCATTTTAGAACATTTTCATCCCTTTAAGAAACCCATACCCGTTAGTTATCACTCCCTTAACCCTCATCTCCAATCCCTAAACAACCAACTACTAATCTACTTTCTGTCTCTATAGATTTTCCTATTTGGGACATATCATATGAATGGAAACATATACATGTGATTTTTTTAAACTGGCTTTTTTCGCTTAGCACAATGTTTTCAAGGTTCATGTTGTATTGGGTTGTCGGAAAAGTCATGACGTATTTTGTCTACGTTTTTCAAAGATCATTTATTTATATAAAGAACAAAGATCAATCAATGATATATTGCCCGTTTTGTTCGATAACCTTTGGTTATCTTTCAGTGAGCTTCATAATTCCTCATTCATAGAAGGACCTGTCTTTATTTGCGAAAAACTGAACAAGATGATTTACAACATCATCTGAATTGAACGTTATACCACGCAAGGAGTTTTGAAGAGAGCAAAATAAGGGGAAGTCTGGTGGCACAAGGTCAGGTGACTATGGTGGGTGCGGCAACACATCCCATCCAAGCTCCAATAATTTCGGACGGGAGATCAAACTTGTGTGTGGTCTCGCGTTGTCGCAATGGAACACAACTCCTTTACAATTAATGAGCTCTAGACGTTTCTGGATGATGGATTTGTTCAAACTGTCCAATTGCCGACAGTACACACTTGAATTGATTGTTTGGTTCCTTGGTAGGAGCTTGAAAAACACAACACCTTTAAAACCCCACCACACTGAGAACATAACCTTCCTCTGATGAATGTCTGCTTTCGATGTCATTTGAGGCGAATCATCATGTCAGGACCAAGACCGTTTGCACAACACATTGTTGTCAACAATCCACTTCTCATCACCAGTTACCAGTCGCTTCAAAAAAGAATCGTTTNGCTGCTCAGCTCGGGCTGGACTCGAACCGCTGTTGCTCAGAGCTCAAACTCTTGAGCGAGCTCTTAACCAACTGAGCCACTCGGCCGGCCCGGAGAGGGTTTTTTTTATTGTCCTAATATAATAAAAAAAAGAACCTAACACAGTTTGCTTTAATATCAGTAACAATAAAGCAGGTTGCAAGTCATAAAATTGGTAATATTGATATATCTTCAACCTTGTAGCATATCTCATTTAAAAGATTTCATTCCTACCATTTGGTTTGCAACACAGCTCCAAATAAATATAGCATATAGTAAGTCCTTCATTGCACTTTCTATTTATGAATTTTAGTCAGTAGGTTATAAATTTCTAAAGATACAAAGAGTTTGAGAACCTGTCACCAATAAAGTTTAGTTTTAAAATAAAAATGAGGATGCTTGCCAAATTTTTCACACAATTTACAAATTAAGAGAATGTCAGTCATGCAATTCATAAAATACTAGAAGAAGCAAATTTAAAGTATTCTAGTTTCATAATCATTACTTTATCCTTTCATAAAATTTTCAAGATGTGAAGTTAATCAATTATATAAAAACCCAACCATTATCTTTGGAAAGTTTTATGCTTTTCTGTTTGAAAAGCAAACTCACCTCATCTTTTCATCTAAAACATTAATTTTGTTTACTTGAAGGTTTTCTGCAAGAACCACGTGACTCTGATTTTCACACATTCTGCCTTCTGAAACTTTGGAGGATACAACTTCAATTTCAGTTCCAATTTGAGAACTTGGCTGGAATGACAAAACCATACTAGTATTTTTTTTTTTAACAACAGAGCATATCTCCTAAAATATTTCAATTATTAAGAAAGGCATTTTAAAATTATAAAGTTTTTGAAACTGAAGACTCAAACTGGGTATGCAATGTTCATGTTTGCTGCCCAAAACAAAATTGCCTAATTCAGAGAGGAAGTTTCAAAGATTATCACAGTGATATGTTTAGGTAATGCTTTAAAAACAATAACCATATGCTATGAAACCAAAAAAAATAAAGTTTGATGATTTTTTTTTTTAAAGAGTTGGGAAGTTCAAATAAAGATTACAATCACTTTAAATCTAGATTTTCCCTTGGTAGACAGAGAAAAGGACAGAAAAACAAGAACTGTTGAAATGGGCATTACACTTAGATTTGTTTCTAATATCAAAAGATCCATCAGTAAGAAATTGGTTAGACTGTCAATGAAAAGAGAAGAATGTTATGCAGCAGTTAAAAATAATGTATTTCCGTATTCTTGACACAGAAAATCACTTAAGATATTAAGTGAAAAAACAGTAAGTCACACAGTAACATGTATACAATGATTTCAGTATTTAAATTTACATAAGTGTGCACACACGCATGCATGGAGATAAATCTGCTAAGATATGTCAAAAGGTGTACAGTGGTTATCTCAGGGTGGTGAGATTTGGGGTAGTCATATCATTTCGTATTGATTAAAGATTTTCAAAATGAATAGGTTAGTTAGGAAAAAATAAATCTATATTCACTTGTTTAAAAATTCAGAATAGTAGGGCCGGCCGAGTGGCGCGATGGTTAAGAACTGACTTGGGATGCCAGTGGGCCCCGGTTCGGATCCCATATGTGAGGGCCAGTGACACTGCCCTCTACAGCTAAGATGCTGAACAACAGCTCAACCTGGAGCTGNAGACTGAAGAACAAAAGGACAGCAACTTGTCTGTTCCCCTTCCCCCAATTCCCCAGCACTGTTCCCATCCCCCAATTCCCCAATTTTAAAAAAAAAATAAAAGAATAAAATATATACATAAGCCAAAAGGTACTAGTGAGGTCAAAAGGGTCAACAAAAGTGCTGGATGTTCAAGTAAGCTAATTTAGAAACTATATAGAATATAGACTCTGATGCAAGTATCAGTCATGATATAGCTAACAGCTGGAATAAACTTCATGAACAGAAAAGGTTAAAAAGCGGGAGTGGGGGGTTGAGTAAAGTATAGCTTTCCATACAGGAAATTTAAAAGTTAGATCTCTCTCCCTAAAAAATACAAAGGCTAAGCATAAAATTTCCTGACATAAGTAGTTTGTTTCAGGAAGCTCTGCCTATATAACTATAGGATTTTGCTAGTCTGCAAGTCATAAATCCTGAAAATGTAAGTTTAAATACTAAATTGCCAATGTTACTTGGAGCAAGCCATTTAATCCTCTAGGTCTATTTAGTCAATTAAAGATGAGGGCATTAGGGAAGGCTGACCCTCGAAGATCACTAGTCTTTACAGGCTCACTTAAGAGTAAAAATCAAAATCCTTACAAGGGTCCACATAATCTGCCCTCTCCCTACTCAGCCTTTACCTTTCCTCTCTTGTTCCCTCCTCCCCTAGACTCTCCTTGACTTGCTCTTTCACTTCTTTTAGGTCTTCTATCTAATAGTACCCTTTCAATGAAGCATTCTCTTATCACTGCTAATTAAAAAGTAAATACCCAATCATGATACTCCCCACTCTACTCCCCCACCTGCTTTATTCTTCTCTACTTATTTATTACTGATTTATTCAACTTATTTATTTTGTTTATAATCTGTTCCCCCAATAAGAATATAAGCTCCACAAGGACAGGATTTTTTTTGTTTGTTCCTATGTTGTCCTATACTGTCAATACTTAGAACACGCCTGGCACACAGGAAACACTAAAATGTTTGTTAAATTAATATATGTACAAGGTTCTTTTCAGTGGCAAAATCATATAATTCTGTAAGACCAAAAAGGGATTAAATTATACACAGACCATAAATCCATAAACAGTTAGGAAAAGCCAGAGATGAAAACAGGTTAATTTTTAATATTTGGGAGTTAATATCTCAGTAAGTGTTCTCTGGAATTATTTTTAGAGATGAATTACTCAACGGGATCAATCATTAATCTAATTCAATATAGCACTTGTAATACAAATGTATCCATAATGCATTTTAATGAAAATATTTTTAAGCACCAATCGCTTTATTTAAACATCCAGTTTAAAGAAATGAAGAAATTGCTCAGTAAAAAAACTTAAAATTAATGTAAAGAAAAAAGCTGGCCTTACACACACACAGAAACAAATGAGAGACATTCATTCTAAAACAATAAGAGCTTCATGTAAGAAACCTGCCTAGGGTCCAGCCGAGTGGCTCAGTTGGTTAAGAGTTGGCTTAGGGCCAGCCGAGTGGCGCCTTTAGGCTGTTTAGGAGTTGGCTTGGGATGCCAGCTCTGAGCAGCAGGACCCCAGTTCGAATCCCACATGAAGGCCAGTGATGCTGCGCCTTCTACAGCTAAGATGGTGAACAACAGCTCGACCTGGAGCCGGGCTATCGTGAGTCGCCGGCAACAGCGTATGCTGCAGCCCCTGCTACAGTGGGTTGCCATGAGCTATCCCGTGAGTGGCTGGCAGACAGCGTGAGCCAGCATGAGCTGCTGTGAGCTGCTGTGAGCCACCGTGAATGGCCGTCTAATGGCCGGTGAGCGACTGCCTCACCCAGGAAGAGCACAATGATAATACCAACATGGGCCAGTGAAGCAACGTCCTCCACAACTAGACTGAAGA